TAAATATTAAGAAATAAGTACACGTTTATTATTTATTCCCTCGACTGTAGGGAGGGTCATATGTATTTAATATAAATAAAACCTTTATATTTATAAAATAAAGATAAATGATTTCTTTATTTTTCAAAACAAAGATAAAATAAAAAATGAAGAAAGGTTGGTTTCTCTGTGTTAGTTAAGTAGACAATTACTTAGGATAACAACATGATATGTCAATTGATATTCTTTGTTATCATCAATATCATTTCAAACGTGTGATATTATTGAAAACTCAAGCTGATGAAATTTCATTTATCTTTATTTTTTAATATAACTATTTTGTTTATATTCATTTTATAAATAATAAAGATTTTTTTCTTTATGTCTATTTTTCCAACATATAAAGAATACTTTTATCTTTATTTTGTAAAGATAAAGATTCAATTTATACATATTCTTTATTGTATAGAAATATAAAAATAAATTAACCCCTACCAGTAATTATTACTATAATTTTGTGTTTTAGGTAAATAAATCATTACTAGATGTAGATGAAAATGAAGAATCGATCGACCATTCAAGCTTTCTAACTTCTTTGGTATGATGTTGCTGCTATAATAGATACAAAGAAAATGATCAATATCGAATTGTGTTAATTTAGGACTACAAATTAGCTGATGGTACTATTATTAATTTAATACAACACAATGTTACTAAAAAACATGCTAATCGTTATGTACCATCTTTGATGGACCTACTTTATAAACTTGAAGAGATATCCGTTATGGAAGCAAAAGACTTACCAAAAGATGAAAGATACATGTTTTTAAAAGGTTTGTACACATTTCATTTTCATTTTTGCATCGGCAATAATAATGTTACTTTATTTGTATATTTCTATACAATAAAGAATATGTATAAATTGAATCTTTATTTTTGTAAAGTAAAGATCAAAATATTCTTTATCTGTTGGAAAAATAGACATAAAGAAAAAAATCTTTATTATTTACAAAAATGAATATAAACAAAATAGTTATATTAGAAAATAAAGATAAATAAAATTTCATCAGCTTGAGTTTTCAATAATATCACACGTTTGAAATGATATTGATGATAATAAAGAATATCAATTGACATATCATGTTGTTATCCTAAGTAATTGTCTACTTAACTAACACAGAGAAAACAACCTTTCTTCATTTTTAGTGTACTCAAAAAGTGAGTACACTACTAAAATCGGTCTGTGTGTCCGTCCGGCCGTCCGGCCGTCAGGCCGGCCGTTAACACGATAACTTTCGAAAGGAGAGTCAGATTGCGATGAAATTTTCTACACAGCTTAGTCTTGACAATATCTCGGTCGAGTTCGAAGATGAGAAGGATCCGCCAAGAAATGGCTGAGTTATCGAAAAAATTGTGATTTTTGACCAGACCATCCCTGAGGGGGGGGTACGGGGATTTTTCGAAAAAAATTTTTTGCTCATAATTATTCACAAAATACATAAATCGACTCAGTTTTTAACGCTGATTCTGAATCTGATATTAGTTTTGGACTGAATCATAGTTTTGTGTACTCAAAAAGTGAGTACACTATAGAATAGTCAGTGTGTCCGTCCGTCCGGTTGGCTGTTTACATGATAACTTTTGACAGCAGAGTCAGATTGCGATGAAACTTTCTACACAGCTTAGTCTTGACAATATCTCGGTCGAGTTCGAAGATGAGAAGGATCGGTCGAGCCATTCCTGAGTTACTGCAAAAATACCCATTTTTCCCTATAGCTTTCTGTGGAAAAATGGACCCATCGCGACTTTCGTAAAAGACTTTTCCTATCATAGTCAATTAAAACCCCAACTATTATATACCATTCGATAGAGAATTTCAAGAGCTACAAAATGATATATAAAACATAAAGAAACAAGAAGGTTGCATTACCAATGACAAGGACAATTAAAGAGAACTAGGTTATATTTTGGTCCACGATCTAATTGATCCACAAATAGAGCTTTATCTTCCGGTCACACTGATGATACTTCGAGGTTTTCAGATATGGAGAACTCGAATGTGTACTGCACTTCCATCGAAATACTATTAGTTGTGCAGTGACCAATAGAAATGAAGTTATAGGAAAAACGACTTTCTTAGGGTAAATCAAGGGAAAGAGTTCAAACTTGAGCTGTATTCGGTCCCATGTCCTATTGGTTTGGCAACGCGCAATAGAAATCAACATTTTAGATGGTAGATTTCACAGTATAATTTTGATATTCAGACAGTCTAGGATGATTGATTTGTATGATTCACTTTTTGAAGTACACATAACTCTCGGATTTAAATCCGAAGTTTCCACATTTATTTATTTTATCTTTGTTTTGAAAAATAAAGAATTTCTTTATCACAAGTAACGCTCGTCGTTACGACTCGCTTAGCCCTCGACTGAATCCCGTCCATTCATTATCTATCATTACCTTCTAGATTTCATTGTGAAAACTATTGTTATATACACATACATGTATGAAAAAAACCGCATACTATTGTAGGAGACTACCACTTTCTAAAAAGATTTCGCTTTTCAATTTTCTCCTCGGATTTTCCAAATTTAACCGTAAGAGGCAGCTCACAGTTAGTCGCCGTGGTCAATACGAGCCACCACTCGCGACTGCTCGCTTTCGTATATGACACCAGTATGGTTGTAAACAGTCCTTCACTTTCTTCTTAATCCTTTCGCTCTGTGATTTGTTGACAAATTGTTAATGTTCCTAACCATTGCACGCAGTAACACACATTTTATTCGCATTTTTCTGCAAGACCTTCTTCCGTCTGAAGCTACAACGTCAGCCCTGTGCCTGTCATTATCGCTATTCTTGGTTCATAACTCCTTATTCCAGTCCATTTATCGAGGATCAAAACTCATATTACCGCACTGAGTTTTTCGCAATTTCCAGACACTTTCAACCGGTGAGATTCGATCAACGAGCAATTTTATATAAATTCCGCCGGCCCAAGGTGTACCTTCGGCGAACCCGCCAGATCACGGGCTAGTCGTTCGTCGGCGCCACTGATGGCTAGCCGGTTTCATGCTTAAACCAACATTCCCAGTAAATCACCCTCTTTTCTTCGCATTCTAGTCGGGCCACGTTTGGCTTACTGCAAAACATTGTTGTATTTATAACCAAAAAATTTTAGGTCAGAAGTCCCAAAAATCATAGTTTCTTGTAATCTGTTCCTTACAGTTTTAATTGCCAGAGCTTTTGAAAAATCGATGTTCTACAAGGCATAGCTACCTGTGAACAAAGGAGAAAGGAAACTTCTAGACCGCTATAAGTACCGACTTCTCCCAGTCTTGCAACAATTGATTGCAGCAGAGCCGTACAATAAAAAAATCTGATTAACTCAGTTTCCAGCTGAAAAAAACTGGTTGAACAAAGCGAAATCGCGAAAACATTTCACTCACACAAACCTCAGCTTCGTAAAAATCTCATTGGGCAAAAGCGAGAGAGTGAGAAGATTTCATTGCTGAAGCTCTTGCGCAAAAACCTTATTGGACAAGACTCGGTCAGCGAAAACATGATTCACTGGACTTCCTGACCATGAAAATCTGATTGGTCGAAAGCTCAACGTCAAAAAACGCCTGATTGGCTGGATTTTTGGCATGAAAAAATCCGATTGGCTGAAAGCCCAATATCGAAAACCCCTGATTGGCTGGATTTTCGGCATAAAGAGTCCGATTGTTGAAACGCCACATATCGAAAATTTCCTCAAAGCAGATGTTTTTTTGACCCTGACACAAACACAGACGCATACAACCTTATTTTATTTCATATGACCCTCCCTACAGCCGAGGGAATAAGTAGTTAATAATTAATTAAAACTAACCTCAGATTCGAATTTTCCACCCTCGATTACCCTTTGGTCAAGTTTTATACAAAATATTAATAATTAATTAATAATTAATTAAAACTAACGTCAGATTCGAGTTCCCCACCCTCGATTACCCTTTGGTCAAGTTTTATGTAGAAGCGGATGTTTTTTTGACCCTAATGTTTTTTTGACCCTGACACAAACAAACCCACAAACACACACACAAACTATTTTTTTTTGTATGACCCTCCTTTCAGTCGAGGGAATTATTTCATGAATATCTAGAATATATATTTTATAAAGTGAAAATAAATGAACAACTCTAATTAATAACTAATGTCTTTCAGAAGCTGTTCGAAATAAGTTTCGACTAACAAAATAAGAACATGAAACGATGTGGGTTTGGCTGCATAATGTTATATTGGCTAAACGTCGAACTATCAATGGCAAAAGAAAGAGAAATGAATCGATTACTCAACATAACAATGGTTAATTTCTTATTTGCATTTGGTTCACAATGTTTATTTTTTTGTACAAATAGCACAAGCAAACGCTGGTTTACATTTATATGTGATCGAAGAATTTAGTTAGTTTGTATTTCTTTTATTTCGAAACTTTAATGAAAACGTAGTCAGTAAACTGTTTTGTGTCTCAATGTATATTTTTGATTTGATCATGTGTATAAATCATCCAGATTTTGTTTTGATTGTTTTATGTAAAGTGTTTTCTCGAAAGCTTTGTATATTACATATTTATTTGAAAGCATATAATAAATAACAAAGAACAAGTGATACTCATGTAATTAGCTATTTTAGTCCAACGAACGCTCATCAATAGTAATGCATGATATCGAAAACTACGATGCAGTTGCGCATAATTGCGACTTATTTATCGCAGTTACGCGTAACTGTGTTGCAGTTTTTTGCAATTGCGGTGCAACTGCGTCGCAGTTTCATCGCAATCGAACACATGGGCAGTACTTGCCATTTTGTTTTTATACAATTATGCTTATAATGTGATACGTGACCTTCATTTCAACTTTTTTTATGGAGCTGATTCATCGTCTATAATATAAAACTGAGAATCTGTAAAATGATTTGCTTGTTAACTGTTTGATTCAGTCAGAGAATAATACGCAGGAAAAAAAACAGACGTCTTTTGTCGGACAATGAGTAGTACCAATAATAATCCATCGTCGCGTACAATCACCGATGGTCGTGCTCATTACAAAATAACAAGAACTATAACAGACTCCGATGGTAAAACACATACAGAAACTGTCGAAGTTGTTGACGATGATGCAGTCAATGTGAGTCCGTTTAATAACATAAACTGTTCTTATTCTTATATCTTATAATAGCTTATGCGAGATTTACGCTTACGTGATAATAACGTAGCTGATATGACTCGATTTGGTTTTTCTTCATGGACAAATCCAACAAAAGTTTCTCAATCATCAACAACTGCTAAACGTCCAACAGTAGCTCAAGACAATAATGAATTTGTTCGAGAAGCAATACAAGTACATAATGAATTAAGACGAAAACATGGCGTTGAACCATTAAGATTAAATAATGATCTATCAAAATTAGCACAAGAATGGGGTAAATTATGAATTAATATTCTAGTCACATAGATTATTTATTGCATATTTGATTTTAGCTAATCATTTAGCTTCAACTGGAACACTTTTACATAGCAAAACAAAATATAAAAATGTACCTGTTGGTGAAAATCTTCGTAGTCAATCATGGTCAATAACAGGTTCATACTTTTTTCTATTTCATTTTTTTTTCTAAAAATAAATTTCTATCTAGGCAAAGAAATGACTGAAGCATGGTATAATGAATGTAAAAAATATGATTATAATAGTCATCAATCCTGTCAATCTGGAACTGGCCATTTTACTCAAGTTGTATGGAAAAATTCTCAAGAAGTTGGATTTGCACGAGCACAAGGTACATCAATGAATTTTGCTGTAGCTATGTATTATCCAGCAGGAAATTTTCTTGGCGAATTCGATAAAAATGTTTTTCCGCCACGTTAAAATTTTTATACAAAACAAATCATGTAAATATTTTTATTGCGATTATTGCAAATAATGATATAATTTATGTATTCATCTTTTTTTTTCTCATGTAACTATCGTTTAATCAAAAAATAAATAACAAGAAAAACAAATAGAGCAAAAAGTAATAGATATAAATATATTTTCCAACTGCCTGATCGAGCCAATAAGACAACACGTCGACGTGCTTGAGCAACTAAACTATCCGTATGATCCATGTTATCATGTATTTCCTAAACAAAATGAAAAAAGAAAAAAAAATCATTTGATTATATTCAAAACTTCTGCTTATTTCAAAATGTTATGTGCTTCACTATTTTCTGAATAATTTTCGATAGAAACATGAAAAAAACTGCATCGTTCACCTTTAAAGAGAGAAGACTCAGTGTCATCGAAATATATCGAAGTTTTTTCATTGATCAATTGTTGACTAATTAAATTTTGATATACTTCAATGACTTAAATCTTCTCTCTTGCATAGTGAAAACTGTAGGTCCCTATAATGTTTTTATTAAAAGTGATTCAAAAAACCGTAGTACATATTATATTTTAAAATAGATAGTAGACTACAATTAAAATGTTGATGTTGAACACTAGTATCATACATATTGTTATTAAAAAAGATTTGCTTTTGTTTCTATATTATACCGTAAATGATAAGTTGAGTCATATGGTAAAGCAAATGATCATGTCATCACATTATCAGATAGTAACACTTAGATCAAATTAAAAATTTACTGAATGGATAGAAGATTACAGAAAGAAAAAATGTCGAAATGTAATAAAATTGAACATTATGATGATAAGAGTGTCGTTGGACTCCAATGTTTTCAACAAGAAGAAACAAATCAGGTTTAACCATGTACTAATTCAAATGAAAAGTGGTCTAGCAGCTACATCAATAGTGACTATCACAGACGCTATACAACAATAATTTAATACTCTATATTTTTGTTATGAATCGGACGATATACTGTTGATGAACTATTCGGTGAGTTACCCTTTTTGTATCACGAAAAATGCTGCATGGAAAAAAACTATAAATAATTATTTTCGTTCGTTGATTAGACTTTTCATTATTTTATTTATAATGTAAATTAGATCATAAATAAGAGGCTTTTCTCTTAGTTTTTTTAATCAATAAAATTTTATCATTGTTGAAGATCTTCATGTTAAGCATTTTTTCTTTTGAAATTTTTCTTATATATATTTTTTCTTTCTCTGTTTCTTCATCATATCAATTTATCAAATGGAATAATGTGCTAATCTAACACTATAACTGATAAAGAAAAGATTCTTGCGTTCTCATTACACTAATTTTTTGTCTGTTTTCATATTTTCGAGATAGAAAATGTTGTCTGATTCCAAGGAACTCGTAATATCCTCTTATATTCATCAAAACTATAACTTGCATGGTTTTCAGAAGTTTATTATACTGAGAAAAAACAAGGATAATCAATGCTAACCTTTAAATATTTATTTTGAAATTTAGTTTCTTCCCCAATTTGCACAGCCAAATGTTTAAGTTGATTCACTTTTGAATTAAGTAATTCTGTTCGTGCTTCATTTTGTTCTTCAATATACGAATAATTCGTACGTCTTGAATGTGTATTTGATTGTCGTCCATCAACCATTTTTTTTTCAAAAACTGAACATCTGCAATTATGTTTACATATATCATATCCTGAAATTTTATTCAAATTCATCATTTTCAAATTATTTTATTCAGGTAAAAAAACACGAGAATATTAATCACTCGTATACGCCTAATAAATGAGATCAAGCAAAAATATTACTAAACAAAAGCACACAATTATCATCACAAAACACAAGTCTTTATCAAACTAGGAATGTCGTAATATTACTGTTCACAAAAAATAACGAGATAGAAGACAGGATGGATATTCAAAACTGTTAGCAACAAAAAAAAAAGTTTATTTTTCACTACTGCTACCAAAAAAGCTTCGTTCTTTCAATTTCGTTAGACTTGATGAACGTAATCGACTTCCACTATTTGCTGATCGATAAAATGATAATGATTGGCTAAGTCGTTCGCGTAATCGATGATATTCAGCATGCTTAAGTTCTTTTATTTTTGCTTTCAATTGATCACGATCTTTACTTGATTTTATACCCATTGCCTAAAATATTATCAATAAAAATAATAGATTTCTAATCGAAATATTGTTTACCTTCATTTTTGTACCATCAAGTAATAATAGTTTTTCACCATTGATGCTACGATTGATAAATATAGGAATTAATGATGTTATTCCTTGAGCTGTTAACCATTGAACACATTGATCAGATGTCCAATATTTTACTTTAACATGCTTTAAAAGAAATGATTAGAAGTCGACTGTTAACTATTGATTTACCTCATCATTTGAAAAGCCATCGCTATCTAGAAAGCCAAGAAAAAACAAATAAGAAAGCATAATTTAAATATGATAATCATCTTTTACTAGTCTGTTCTAATGATGGGACTTTTGAAAGATGAGTTCTATTACTAAAAAAAATACTTTATCAATAGATAATCCATTTATTTATTTTTATGATTTACTTGATAACATTACAATCGTTCAAACCTTCGGCAAGTGAATGAGTAGATAAATGCTTCAATGGTAAATTTGTCGAGTATGTTCTAATTACATGAGCTTTATTTATTAATGAATTTCGATCAACCTCACTATCAAGTTGATTAGTTGATTTATTATTATTAGAAACTAAAAATAGAAAAAAAAAAATTTCCCTTGAATCAAAACGTAAGCTTTGTTGATGAATATTTATACCAATTTGAGAAGTTTCTTGAGTTTGTGTACATGGTGGTATTTTATCTAATGATATTGATGGAAATCGAACAGATGATGTTGCAATAGTATGTCGATCTGTGGAAATCCCTGGTTGACTAGAACTTGTATGTGTTCGATCTGATCTACGTTCTGGTATATCAGACGATTCTAACACAATATTTTCATTAACTTTGGTTGTTGAATTATCTTCAGATTTCGCAATTAAAGTAGCAATGGTATTTTCAAGTTCTTCAACCTAAAAAGAATAGATAAATTCCTTTTTTTTATCTTACTACTGTGTGTCCTATTTCGAGTTTTTACTGATAAGTATAGTTATGAAAGTTTCAGCAGAAAAGATTGTTTTCTTTTTCAAGATATTGAATTTGCCATTAAACTCGTTTTTCGTGACATGTCTATGATAAGCAACTATTTGTTGGAAATTCAATATTTCAACAAAGAAAAATTCGTTTCGGTTGAGAATTTCAGAGTCTATGTAGTAAATTTTAATTTGTAATTTCTCTAGTTGATTTTTCAGCAAGAATTTTTCTAGCTTTATCATAAATCTCATTGTAGGCTCAATATAAGTTCAAACAGTGATTTACAATTGGGATAGTTGTCTCATAAGCAGATATAATATGAAACATTATTTTCTTGTGTCTAACATATACAAATAGGTTTTCTTTGAGATATTTTTGTTTGGAAAAACATATGAAAGATCAAGGCAAACAAAAACTCCTACTCGAAAACCATATGAGTAATAAATTATGACATATCAGTATTAAACTCTTGCAAGGAAACCTTTGCAAGTAATAAATCACTCAAAAGATAATTCTTATCTCATTAGGTAGGGTTTATTCAAACTAAAGAAAGCCAAAAAAAAGACTTTTGATCATAAATCTTTCTTCTTAAGTTAAAGACATTATCATGCACTTTTAAATGAAATACCATATCCCTTCTCAAATCACTTTCAAATTCAAATTTTACAGAAATAAAGTTCTCACTGAAGAACATTTCATTATGAACATATCAGATTTTCTAATATATCCTATTGCTAAGATATTAATAAAAGAACAAAGGTTACTTGTGGGCAAAACAAAATTTTCAATATTGGTATATAATAATAGACAATACTAGGATATTTGCATTTGAAAGCCAACTTTGCATATGATCTAATAAAGATCACGACATTTTGTTGAAAAATTCATTAAAACAGTCGTAACCGCAGAAAACAATTCATGGACACGATTCTTTGTTATGTTTTCTTTATTCTCACTAGGAGCTATCTAATAAAGGAAAAAGTCACATCGTCATAAATAATTGATCATATGATGAGATTTTCTTGTTTATATTGTTTATCAAACATGGCATGATCTATGTTTACTGAAGTAATCAATGTTTTCTTTTACTTTTCTAATTTAATGCTTATAAATGAAATCCTCTACCTAAGTCATACTACTTAAACTTAAGAAGAAATATGAATACTATCATTCATATTCAATGCTTTTACATGTTTTTAATATTCTATGTGCATACAGTTTAAAATAATTTTCATGTTTATTCATAATTACAAACCTTTTTCATCAGTTCATTAATACGATTTTCTTGTTGTTCATTTAATTCCGTTTGTTGTTGACGTAGTTCAGTTTCTCTAATAAACAAAGAGTACAGTTACAGTTAAAGAAATATAAAATATGAAAAAATAGCTGTTGTTTTTTTTTTTTTTTACATGTGCACATAGTGAACAGAAAGCAATACTTTTAGTTTTTACCATCACCTGAATACGTACTATATTTTATTTGTTTCTTTTACTTAAGAAGGACCTTCATTATTTAAATTAAAAAAAAAGAAATTAGTTTTTTTTTACATACCGATCTTGAAGTTCTTTAATTAAGATTTTTGCTTTAAAATATTTTTCTTTGATTTGTTTGAAATCATTTTGCATTTGTTGATAAAGTTGCTAAATAAATACAAATAAAAATAAATAGAATTTTGACGATATACAAATTAATTTACTTGATAATGTTCTTTTTCTTTTTCTGTATTTTCTAATGTTTCTTCTAATGATTCATAACATTGTTTAAGTATTTCAATTTCCAATTCAGTTGAAATTTTCGATTCAATTTGCTGTAAAAGAAAAAGAAACCAAAGAAATAAAAATCTAAAGAAACAAACATCTAATTTATTTACTGCATGATCTTGTATTGTATCATCATCATCAATAAGATTTTGTCCATAATATTCTTCATGATGTTTTTGCATTGTTCGTGACATTTCCTCACGTTCTTGATCTAATTGTAATGAACGTTGTATAAGACCAGGAATTTCTGAGTGTTCAAGATCTTTTTCTCGACCAATTAAAAATCTAAATTTTATATATTGAAAAATGTAGAATAAAAGGATTAAATCCTACTTTACTAAACCAGATGCTGATTTGAGAACATTTTTAGCATATGCATGTGTAACACCAACAAGTGAATGATCATCTACTTCGATGATTTGGTCACTCACTTGAATTCTATTTGAAAAACAAAATTCAAAAATTGAATATAAAGACAGAAAAATTACCTTCCATCTTTGGCAACGACACCTTGAGGATTAAGAGATTTTACAAAAATACCTAATCTTTCTAAACCACTGTCAGCACCTACACCCATGCCCAATACACTAAAAAAAAAAATAAACCAATCAACGAATTGCACCAATCGCAAAATTTAATACCTTATGCCAAGACCTTCGGGACCTATAAAAATTGATCATGATTAAAATAAATAATAATATTTTTAACTGTACCTTTTTCAATTTCAACAGTAAAAACATCCATTTTTTCTATTCGTTTTTCCAATTCATATTCCGCTGTTGCTGAAAATGGATCAATATCATCATTTCGTCTATCATATTCATTTGCTGAATATGTTGGATAAACCTAAACAATCAGCGATTTCATTTTTTTTTTGTAAAAAGAAATCCGTTGCCTCTTACTCGAATTGGTGCATTACTAAATTTCACTCGTCTAGTACTATTGGAAGAGTCCTGATTATCATCATCGAGTTCAGGGATACCCGGTCGTTCATAAAAAATTGGTGATGATGCTCTATCGTCATCTTGTACATAATCTGGTTCTAAATATTATAAAATATAATTATTGCATTCTCTAACAAGAAAGTTAAAGACTTTTTCCTCCATCTATGCATCTAACAAATGTATTCAGATAAGCAAGAATAACGTCATCTGCTATTGTTGGGATTCCTTTGACATGATTTTATGACAGTTAGACATGTTTGTCATATTCTACAAAGATAAGACGAATTGTAGACGTTATGAAGAATGTCATTTTTTTCTTCAAGATATGTAAAAATAACATGTTTTATTTAATGCGAGAAGACTTATTGACACCCCCTAGTATGAGTTGCTTAGTTATTTTACTGAGATTAATTTTTTTTTGTATCCATGAGATTCTACATCATTAAATCAAAAGACTTCAGGCTTATAAAATATTTATTTACCATTAACCATTGTAGTTTCATTTGATTGTGATTCTTCTTTTATTTCATCGTCTTGAAAAATTAATTTTGGTAATAATCGTTCAATTTTTGTTGGTTTAACAAAAATTGTATTAAGATGATCCATACGTTTAAGTACATTTGATGGTACAAGTATAGGAACAGTATGAGTTATCATTTGTTTACTTGATGACTTTAATGAAAGATTTGTTCTATCATTCTCATCACGTTGTTGTTGATGTTGCTGTTTTTTATATTGTTCTATAGCATCAGCAGGAAAATCATTATATTGTTCTGAATTTGAATATTTTCGACTAATAACTGCATAAGGAACATCGTCATTATAATTCGCAATTGAATTCGATGATGTACTAATAAAATGTACAGAAATATCACGAATACGTTCTTGTTGGTTATGCATCATTGGTTTTGTTGTAAATAATGGTGGATTAGTACTTATTGATTTCGTTTCTAATGCTTTAAACATTTCTTTGGTTCTACTAAAACGTGTTGTATAATCATCAACTATGAATGATGAATTAGATTGATCTTTGTTTGAATTTAAATTGTTTGATATTAATGAATGTCCTGTGAATACATTATGTAACCGTGTAATATGATTATTGTATTTATTGTCAGTATGAGGATTCTCTATTGAAGTATCAGCGAAAATATTTGATGCAGATTCAGTATGAGTAAAAAGGGATGGTACTGCTGAATGAATGAGAGTACCTGCCATTTATTATTATCGCTTTAATTGTTTGTTTAGGCGTAGTACTTGTCCGCCTGTCGTAATATTTCTCTTCTGTTTCGCTAACAACCGTTGTACGTATCAATCAACAACGACATATTTACTGTATTCTTGGTTTTTTAAGCGACTTTGATGATTATAGTTATGGATAAAAGAGCAAATTAGAATTGATATATTAGAAAAGATGATTATCTAAAGAAAATAAATTTTGATTTATATAATTTGATCATGAAAAAAGATTGACTAATCACTATTTTGTCTGCTAACAATGCAGAAGTATCGACAAATAAATGAAGTAAATTTTAGTCAGTAGTAACCGACATGAAATAACAATCCTTCAACGTACATCAGCCATAAAATATTTTGTCAATAATACGATAGAAGTGTTGAGTGGCAAAAAAAGAAAGGTAAACAGAGTCATTTATTTGTCGGATAAGAAAACCAATAAAAATTTTGTTATTTTTCTATGCTTAACTTCTACGCCCTCTACATAATTCAGTCGATTTTTTATTATTTGTCATGTTCGTATTTCTCCATGGGTTGAAGAAAGACAAAACCAACAGATTCACCTTGCCTTCTTATCTGTTTATCAAAAATCTATTTATAACTTGCACCATTTGACATACTTTGATATTTACTAATTCATGTAGTTTTAAGTCAATCATGTATTTTGTTAAAATGAATAACTCGCTGTCAACGAATATTTTCAATCGAAGGACGAAAAAATGATTTTATTCTTTTTCTTATCATTTATATATTTTGTCCATTTTTTATTTATTGTTCTTTTTATTTCCAGTGTATTTTCGATAATTCAGCCATCTTTTTAAACGAACACCTCTATTCAATAGAATTTCTAGAGCAAAAAAATGTCATCCGACCTTAATACGACTATGTAAATAGCGAGGCAAAAAAAATGTCCTTTTAGTTGCCTATTGAAGGTGCAAAAATCAAAATGATAAAAAATAAAGCATGAGCTCAAATTATTCGCAGCCTTACATTTTTTTTTCTTTTCTTTTTTTTTTCTATCGATTCAATGTTTTTCTATCTCACAATGGCAAACTGAGTCGTTGTTGGTGCTTGTTGTCAGGTCTCTTTATTGTTACTCTGCATTGTATGTCTATTATAACAGTCATGACAACATTTTATTTTTATAAAAATTATAGATTGATAGTAAGGTTTTTTCAACTGTAAAGTCGTATTACTTAAAAGAGTTATGTTTTTTTATTTTTTTTATAAAGATTCAATTAATTTCTTGAATTGATAATATTATTTGATGGCAAGAATATCAAATCAGAACGTTACGTACATCGCGAATTCTTGCCTTAGTGTCAAGGCTATTTCTATCATGATAGATAAAAATAGCAGGAAAACGGAAATATCTATTCAAGAACAAATAGGAAAATATAATACGCTAGATTGTATGGTGAGGACGTTTGATAAAAATAGTAATTGATGCGTATGAAAAAACAAATAAAAACAACAATAAGTACAATACAATCATCAAATAAAGAGGAAGAAAAAAAAGAACGACAGATGAAATATTATGCGAAAAGAAAAAAAGGCGTGATTATTTTGTTAGAAAGATTTTGATAACTGAGACATAGGAGAAAAATATATTTCCGTTTTTTTTTCTTTTGGTTATTAGGCATATTTGTTTGCTTTCTTTTAGCGCAGAATTTTATGTTCTCATGGGACTATTACTATTTTTAGTTTTATTCTGTTCTTCTCTTCTCAGTTTTCTTATTCTTCGTCTATCCATTCACAAAAAAAAGGTATATTTGAGTATTTTATGTTGTTGCTTGCGTTTTTTTCCTTTATGCTAATAGAAAAAACGATAATACCAATAAAAAAAACCTTGCTCTAATACGTCACAGATTGTTTACATGTCTTTAAGCAAGTTCACCAATGCATTGAAAGTTGGATGTTTTATGACCTTCAAGTGTAGTTATGGTGAAAGAATGCGATTACGTAGTCGCAACAGCTTTTTTTTCTTTTTCTTTGTACTAAAAAATCAACGAGACTAATTAACATGTATGTTTACAGAATAAATAGGTCATAAAAAAAAAGGAAGTTTTATTTCAAAATAAAGAATCTGTTACTATTGTCACTTGTCAGATAAATGTGAATGTCTTTTTATTTTCTACTAATGATTAAAATATGATGACCTTTACTATTATTTTTCTTATATAAAACGTAAATAGCTTGTTTGTGCCGTGTTCTGAGCTTAGATTTTTTTTTTCTTTTTTGTTCCTCTTTCTCGTTACTCCGTTTTGCTTTTTTATTCATCTCATATGAAGAAAGAAAATAAGGCACGAAGAAGAAAAGAAAAAAAAATATTCGACCAAAGCTGACAGACAGACACCCTATACAAAGAGATAAAGTAAGACTAAGTGAGAGTAGCATATGTAAAGTAGTATGAAAAAAAGAGTATATCATTTTTCGTTTCTTTTCGTTTTTTTTTTTTGTGTTTATTTGTTATTGGTTTATTTTTATTCTAGAAAGTTATATTTCGTACATAACATTTCTTCATGGTGGATTTTTGTCGTCTAACAGCTTTGTCGGGTGACAACTCATTTGGCTCTGGGAATAGTAATAATAATAATACAAAAGACGGAAGTTCAGGTTTTTTTCCAACAGTATTTGTAAGTATTGATTACATAAGAAACGAAAATATGTATAAGACGTAATATTTTCTATATTACCTTTTTTTCTGTCCTTGATGGGGACATATATATGGTATATTTTTTGTCTAAATTTTAAAACAAAGCCAGTTCAATACGTTTAGTGTACCCGAAAATAGAGCAAAGATTATACTTTCAAGGTTGTTATGGATGTCATAGTCGCAAAGCAAATAAATAAATAAAAATATATATACATTTTTTTTCTTCACTTTTTTAGCTTCCCTATTCGCATTTGATTGGTCCAGATATACAAGACTCAGTAACAGCAACGGCTACTACACCTCTTACAACATCAACTATGGAACAAACACGTCTTGAAGAAGAAAAATTACGTGTTCAAGCTAAAGATAAAAAAAATCAAAGTAAACACACGTCTGTTTTCTTTTTTATCTTTAATTATCTTCATAATATTACTATTCTAGGTGCTAATGCATCTGCTGAAGTAAAAACTCATTTAAAAAGTTTTATACATCGTAAATTACAAAAAGAAGGCAAACTAGGGTAAATTTCGGTATTTGAAAAAAAAAAGAAAAACAGATTTGTCATTCGAACTTTTTTTTGTTTATAGAAATCAAGATTCAAATGAATTGCTTCGACGATTTCAATCTGAACCAGTACTTCCTAATCCTTGTCTTGAATCAGGAAATTTTAAAATCAGATCAGACTTACGTCAACGTCTTCTTTCTCAACATAAACAAGTTACTCCTATGTCAGATAGACGTCATCCAAATCGTTCAACAAATTTAGCTCAAAAACAACAACCGACTGGTATGATTTCTTTAATGAAAAAAGAAAAGAAAAGATTTTTTTCTAGGCTGAACGATTGTATTATCTAACTTAGACATATATTTGCTTTAGTTCCAACAATGCCATTAATACCATTTACTTCTCAATCGGCTCAATTACCTCCTCCAGAACAGCTATGGCTTGGTTTTCCACGTTCAGTTTATGGCTGTTATTCAACAGGTAGCCTATGAATAAAAAAAAAAGAAAGAAAAACAAATGTTTTTCGTTACAAAAATATTCAATTTTTAGGTAATCTTGGTGAAAATGTCCAACAAAATCGTTTAACAACAACACCACATGAAAATCATCATCATACAAATATTCTTGGTCCAAAACATTTTATTGTTGAAGAGGAAAATGAAGCTTTATTAGCTAAAGAATTACAAGAAGCAAAAATTCAAAGTCCTCATAACAGTCATAGTTCAATGCATAGTAGTCAACCACATTTATTTAATTTTGAATCCAATGATTTACCTATTCGAAACCCAAATGTAAGAAATCAATAATCTTTTATTTATTTAATTTAATTTAATTTTATATTTCATAGTTATCACTCGAACGTTTAACATTCCAATCCAGATCATTATCGTCTCTATCAATGTTGGCATCATCAACAGAAAAAAAAATTAAAAAAAGTCTTTCCGGTACAATACGAATGCGTTTTACAACTGGTAGAATTTTTCATATTAAATTTGTTTTTTTCTTGTCTACTTTTTCTTTTTTTTTTATCTAGGACTTGTCTATGATGATGATACATTAAAACATGAATGTTATTGTAAACGTATGGATCTTCATCTTGAAAATCCTAGCCGTTTAATTGTTATATATGAACGATTAAAAGAATCAAATTTACTTGATGATTGTGAAATTATTCGTGGCTATTGTGCAACAATTGATATGTTAACTGATTGTCATGAGTAAGAGACAAGAAAACTAATTAGAAAAAAATATATATAGATAATCAGCTTGAGTGAAAACTCATCAAAAAAACTTTTATTTAAATTATATAGCATAATAGAGCAAATCCAAATCCTGATAAGTATTGTCTTTTCGATTCTACAATGGATTAAATTCTTGCGTGATAATCAGTTTATAGTATCATTTAGACATGTGTTGTCATATAAAATAGAAAAATCTATTGTAATCACAAATATTGACCGGTTTGATTCTTAGTTCATCTATTAATATAATAAAAAATAGCTTCGTGCAAGAAAAATATGTTTGATGTTTTTCATAAAATATTTATGACTCATGGGTTATTTTTAAATATACATTAGCTTATAGAGCTTGTCAATAGGGTTTGCTATCTGATTTTGAATGTTCGATGAGATACGAAATTATCTTTTCGATCATTGTTAGCCAAGTACATTGAAAACATATTTTAAAAAATTTTTGCTTAACAGCATTTCATTCTTTAATAATCATTTATAGAAATTCCATTTGAAAAAATGTTTAAAATTCTTTTTAATTGCATGTTTAATGAAGTTTAACATTGAATTAAAAAGACAACGTTTGCACCTTGGTGTCTAGAACCCATTAAATCGGGTCCAGTTGGGAAAACTGTCGACTTGATAGGTTCTAGTTGTCTAAGAAATGTATAGCATGCACTATTCAACGAATATGAAAAGCAGAACAAAATGAATCTTCTATCCTTCGGGCAACTATTCAATTCCGATTAGAAAATTTCATTGAGAGTATCGAAATACATCTGGATTAAATCCATGTCCAAAAAATTTTGCACTTGACGGACTCTATTGTTGTCAATATCTGATGAGCTAAATATAGGAATATTATTTATAGTTTAAAAAAGCAAAGTACCCATCAAATGTTATATATTTGGTGCTTGAATCTATTTTTAATTATATTTTCTGAAGACAACTAGTATATTCAGAGAAAATATATCAGCACAGCTGCGGATCAAATCTATATTGAAACTACATAAACATATAAGGTCAGATGATTGATGCATAAATATTTGTATTCTTTTAGTCCGGGTCATGTTTATTTATTTGGTTGTGATCAACGACAACGAAGTCAACAATCACTCGCTATATTAACTGAACGACTTAATTCTATAGTACAACTACCATGTGGAGGTTTTGGCATACATGATGATATAGATACAATATGGAATGATGAATATACAGCACGTGCCTGTCGTTTAGCTATTGGTAATACAATTGAATTAACAAAACATGTTATTGATGGAAAACTAAAAAATGGTTTTGCACTTGTGCGACCACCAGGTCATCATGCAACACAAAAACCATTAGGCTTTTGTTATTTTAATACAGTAGCTATAACAGCAAAATATTTGAAAAAATATCGAAATCTTGATCGTATTGCTATTGTTGATTGGGATATACATCATGGAAATGGTACACAAGAATTAACATATGATGATCCTAATATTCTTTATATATCATTACATCGTTATGATCATGGAACATATTTTCCTGGTGGTGGACGAATAGATGAAGTTTGTTGAATTTTTAGTTTTTTGATGAAATGATATATTGAAATTTAATCTTCATTTTTAGTGTGGTTGTGATGATGGTCTTGGTAAAAATGTGAATATTGCTTTTTCGGCTGAACCACCATTGGTTATGACTGATGTTGAATATTTAGCAGCATTTCGGCAAGACATAATATTCATTTGAAAAAGAGACAATAAATTATAATTTATTTGTTTCCTTTAGAACTGTTGTTATGCCAATATTAGAACAATTTCAACCTCAAATAATACTTGTTTCATGCGGTTTTGATGCATGTATAGGACATCCACATCCACTTGGGGGTTATGAATTAACTCCGACATGTAAGAAAAAAAAAGAATTTTTTTTTAATGTTTTTGACCATATTAAATAATTGATTTTATTTATTTAGGTTTTGCTTATATGACAAGAAAATTAATGAGTTTAGCTGATGGAAAAGTTGTTCTGGTTTTAGAAGGGGGTTATGAATTAAATGCATTAGCTGAATGTGGAAAATTATGTGTTGAAGCATTACTTGATCGACCAGTAAATTTTGAATATTGTTATTAAAAGTTTTGATTTTTATCGAGTTCATTTAGATACCAATGTTTAGTGAAGAAGTTCTTGAAGCTCAACCTAATCCATATGCAATACGCAGTTTAAAACAAGTTATTGCAGTACAACGTATGTTTATTTTTTTTTTGTATTTGCCTGTATTTGGAATAATAAAGAAATTCTTTTTTTTATCTTTTAAGGTGAATTTTGGCCTTCGATTGAACGATATGAACATTTAGTGTCTATGTCACATGCAAAGAGTACAGATTCGTAACTTAATATGATTTAATCGTTACTACAAACAGTGCAGAAATTTTCATCATATTGATGTTATGAATTATGGCGATGAATATGTAAGAAAAAAACGAATAATTTATTTTCCTATTGAAGTATTTTTTTCGGTTATCTCATGGTGTTTTACCGGTGATTGTAAGACTCATTTATCATCTTCGTTGTCGAGTTTTATTTATTTTTTATGTGTATCTGTGTGTATATTCATGCCAATGCTCTTTGATAACTGCTAAGCAGTTAATTTATCATCCTAATTTGCCTTCTAACTATAGCCATAACAAATAACAACTCCCTATAAGTAGCCAGATTTTTTTTTGTGTTTTTTTTCATTGTTTATTGTTGTTTGTTTTATTTTCAAGCTGATATTTTTTTTTTCTCCCACTGGAAACTTATATACATATATACATATATATATATTTCTCTTTCTTTTTCGAGTTTCTCAATATCGCTCAACTTGTTTCATATATCATGTAATTGTGTTTTTTCCCATGTATACATGCTTTCACAATTGCTATTTTATCTATGAAATATAGATGAGTCAAGAATAACTGTGATAAAATTTATTTCTCTAAAGAAATATTCGTAGCTATTTTTACTAAAGTTTCGACATAGATTGATGACTTACATTCATTACAGAAACCTATTAAATACAAAATATATAGATAATTAGACAGTAAGTATTAAAAAAAAAAACAAGCTAAAAATATCCTTAATTTATTGTGTTGATTGAAGATTTCATTTATAGCTATGAAAATGAAAGTAATAAATAGATGATAGAGAGCGTCGGCGTACTCTATGGCTCGTTTTTATGACGTTGTTTTTTTCGTCGTAGTTAACATCTATTAATATTACATTAGGATTTATAAATATTTTTATTACATGTAGATAATTACTGTTAAATAAAATTTAATAATAGAAAAATTTCAGTCACATGTTATAATTATTGAATTTAATCAAAGTTTTAAAAATTATTAAGCAGGCAATAGTTATTTATAATGAAAAAAAAAATAAAACCATTTGTTTCCCCTACATGTTTATACTTATATAAATGTGATTGCTTTAAAATGAAATTATTTTTATTTAGAAATGTCTCTAGGCTAAAAGAGTAGGATCTAGAAACGGAAATTGAATTACGTCTGTGCGCAACATGATCAATAATGAACTATAGTTCAGAGTGACCGAACAGTATGAACTAAATGATCATTATTGATTTAATTATTTAATATGATTTGATTATCAAAGGAATATTATATAAATAATGATTATAACTTGATAAGTCAATTTTAATATACGATTATGATTATTTTAGTCATATTATAGAGGAAACTGCTCAAAATACTAAAAATATTTTTCAATTGAAAAGATCATAGTTCGATTGAGCAGAAAGAGGAATATAATATCTGATGATATGGTTTGATTGCAAGTTGTTTCTAAGTGAAGTTATGAATTCTCTAAAGTTAAAAACGAAATTTTTGATTTTGTTCTAGAATCTTAATTTTCTCGAAGAAGTATTGGTGTGTTAGGCTGAAGTTTTTACAACATCTATTCCAAAAAAAACTGAACTTGGTGATTTGGAAATTCCAGCTTTTAAAGACAAGAAGTTAAAGAGAAATAAAATTTATTTCCTATAATCTTGTACTCTTCATATTTTATTAACAATTCTGTAACAATTCAATTTTGATTTAATGAATCTCAAGCATTCAGTTATTGAGTACTACAAGTTCAAATGTTTGCTGTTCAATTGTTGGATAGCACTCCAAATGAATATAAACATGTGTCTCAAGACTTCGTAGTACGATCAGTTGTTGATGTGCTCTTCAGTGTTTTATCTTGATTTCGTTTTCCGAGTGGACGAATCGAAATTTCGGATGGGCGGCGCCCACTCGGTCCACGCAGTAGATGAGTGACTCTTGTATATTTTCGAGCGGGCAAATCAAAATTTCTGGTAGGCGCCGCCCACCTGGTCCACCCACTAGATAAATCACTGGTGTTCTTTGAAGCCTTGGTCTATCTCAACAATCGAAATTTGTATGCTGGAAATTTTATCCATTTAATGATTAAAGAATTCTATATTGGAATTGATGTTTCAATTATTACATGTATCATCCGAATTTTTTTGCATTTATCTATTCCGTTGGTAAATAAATTCTGCAAGTTTTTTGTTGTGTTTTAGACAAATTTGAGGCTTTATATCTCATGGTTGAAAAGTAACAGAGGTCTGAAATTTTTCGTATAGATAGAAGTCACATAGATCTGTCTACACGAAAAACTTCAGACCTCTATCACTTTTCAACCACGAGATAAAGCCTCAAATTTGCCTAAAACACAAAAAAAACCGTGCAGAACTTATGTACCAACGGAATATTTCATTGGCAGATCTGCCTTATGTCAGAGTGATTTTCTCCACTTCATTATATGAAGTAGTTGTCTATATATATAATTTGAATACATTGAACAATCGATCATCAAGATTTTCTTTTGTGAGACAGAGTAAATTGTAATAGAATTGGAAATCTCTCAGAAATTTGTTCCTAGAATAATTTCTGGATCCGGCTTACTGGACTCATTGTTTATTCTTTAGACTATGACAAACGATATTGTCTTCCTTATATAATATTTCTCTTCGTTTATTTTCTGCATCGCCACCAGTATACTACAACAGCTGGAGCAATGTATCAATGAGAACCAGATCCTTCTAGATTCTCTCGTCTATTTTTGTTTGATACTTGCATATAAACATAAGAAGAAAAAGATGAACGTCTTATTATAAAAGTATTTTTTCGAGATTAATAAAAAATGAAGAGAACAAGTTACGACTTTTACAAACTAGATAGTCTGGCATTACTTGAAAAATTTTGAAAATTGTCTTGGTTTTGAAATTTTTCCTATTTTGAGCCGATATTTAGAGATGTTCAAGGCCATTTTTTGGATAGGCATAGTAAAAAATTGCAGCCTAATCCATCTTCACCTCTTCGAGAAAATAAAGAATTAAGAACGAAATTGAAAGTTTTGCTTCTAACTTAGAGAATTCATAACTCTAGTTAGGAACAAGTTGTACTCAAACCATCTTAGATTACTTTACTCTTTGCTATTTACGTTCTAACTATTATCTTCTCAGGAGAAAAAAAACTTTTAAGTCCTCAATAAGTTCTCTCGTTAGTAGAATGAGCCGACAGTTCAATGAAATTTGCTGATTGTTTTCTATTGCACATGAAACATTTCCTACCACTTTGAAAAAAAATGAGATACTTTACCAATAGCTCCCAATACATCGTCTGGTATCTCGACATTACCATAGCTATTGTTTGAGCGGTCGGTCTTAGCGTCATATATTATTTGCATACATATGACGCTGTCTATTTCTACATCCTTCTTTGTAGAATAATATGACGTCTTCATAGTAATCATACACTTCAATTGAATACAAATCATATAATATTTGTGAAAAAAATGTTGCTGGCGTCTAATAATGTCTAGAAATATCGCATCGATGTATCGTTCTGTATAATGTTGCTCATTCAGAATTTATTTCTATGTCGTTCATCATGGTGCTCAATATATTTCAAGACAAGGATATTATTTCGTCATGTAGCATAGAACTAATTATATAATATTTGAGAAGAAAGAATCTTGCAATCTAAAAAACAATGCAAATCATCAATAATGAAAATACACTACTGCATCTGGTCAGATTAGTAGACCTGACAAGTTCTGTCATATGAAGGATAATTTGAACGGCTCCTTTGTATTATTGATTCAATATGTATGATTAAAAGAACAATCGTAATCTAAAAAGGACTCTCAATGAATACTATTTTGTATGTGATGAGAAAATCTAAGAAATTTAATAAATAAAGGTTTTGTCATTATTTTCTATTGCTGTTGAGTTTTTAGCATTTCTGATATTGTAATTTGTTGTTATATGGGTATGATATGCAACGTGGATGAAAATACAAAACTACTAGTCCTATCTGATTTTCATCAAGTTCAGAGCTCTTCTTGATTCTAATGGACAAGACTTTCTGTTATTTATATAATTATTAAAAAGATTATTTCATATTAAATGATGTATTCTAATTAAGATTTAAGACTGAACTAATGTGACAAAATACGAACATCTAAAGAGTGCATTTCAATAATATTGAAAATCAAATTTTGGAAATTCTTCATCAGATACTTGAATCTATTTGTGAAATGAAGATTCAAAGTTGAAAGTCAAAAAATTCAATTCTTTTTAATCTTCCATTAATTTTAGTGTTAAACATTTCTGAAAAAAATTAAAACAAATCTCATAATAGATAGATCGATTAGAGATTGTATCATATACCTGATATTTTACGATAACTGAAGACAAAATATTAACGACATTGTTCATGCTTTGTCTTGATGTAGAAGTCCATAACTTTTATTACATATATATATATATATCTAAACAAGATCTTCAATTTTCCAAAGGTTCAGTTCCATAGCTAAAACTAGTACTTAAATACATGGACAAGATTAACATACATGAATTGTCATACTTAATTTTTATAATATTTTTATTACATAATCAATTGTAACAGAGTGGCTAAGGATTCTTTTAACAATATAGGAATCCCTTTATATCTAAAACCTTTTAAATTTAATCATAAATTTAATCGTAAATGTCCAGCGATTGCGAAAAAGAGTAAATCGTAAATGGTGTATACTGAATTCCAATTATCTCAAAACACATGGAGTATTGTTTGCATGGTTCGTAGCACAATTATTAAATAAACTTATAAAATCAGTAGATAGTGATCCTAAATTTGTTCATGTATGAAGAATTAAAAATGTGTCGAATGTACTGAGTCAAAAAAAGTTCGTAGATAATTATTTCATGTATGATTCAAATCAGCAAAAGAATATGCACAAGAACGAAGGGAATATTCGAAAGAAAAACAATAGATGAAATATCTTATGAATTATATTTGGTCATCGAAAGCAATGACGAATATTTTCATATATATGGAAAGAAATAAAGATTTTTAAAAAATCAAGTAAGACAATTCATAATGTGTGTGATAAAAATTTCAGCTTTCTACATCAAGAAAATGTATGAACAATATCACTGACAATTTATGCTCAGTTATTATGAGACATCCTTATCAGTAAAATTGATTGAATAAATGAAGGTATTGAGTGACTTGAAATTATTATCAACAAGTTTGGAAAACAATTCAATCTCCAATTTTTGTATTTATTTAATTCTTATGTCGAACAAACAATTTAAAAAAATTCTTTAACCCATCACCCGCCTTTTTTTTGTTTGTCCTCCAATTTATCCCCATGTTAAAGTAACAGTAATTCGACATTGATAATTATCACCTTTTTTAACTTGAAATGGTAAATTAATCGTAGTTCCATCAACTGAAGTTGAATTACATGTTGTTTTATCAATATGTGTTTGAGGAGCTCCATAAAAGTCAAGTTGACCATTGACATCTTTATCTTTATAATTGAATATTGTCACATTAAGTTCATATGTTTGCCAAGTAATCGTCGTTGTGTCTTTATTTGATGCTGTTATATTTCCTTTTACTGAATATCGAACATCATTATCTTGACCTAGAGTAACCATTTGTGAATAATTTACTGGAACATCAGGTAAACTTGATTGACCCATTAATACTTGATTATCTCGAATGGTTAAAGTTCCAGCTGGTAAAAACTGATCTGATATTATATCATAGTTTCGTTGAAATACACCTTTATATTGTCCACTACTAATACTTGTTGTTGTTTTATAATAAAATTTACATGTAGGATTAACAATTATAAACGGTAAACGAATTGAACTTTTTGCATGTAAAGTATACTTATCTTTTAATGAATAAAAATAAAAACCTTTCTGTTCACCATCAAGTTGAATAGATGGTGAACTGGCAAGTTCTTCTGCAGCTCCTTTCATCATCATTGGATAGGACATAACTGGTGGATAATTATTCACTAATGGAATATCACCACTATATAAATAAGTATTATCAACTTGATATTCTTGTTGTTGATTATTACGAATATTAGCATAAGCTCGAAGACTACAAGCTTAAATTAAAGAAAAAAAAAAGAATTTCATTTCTTTCAAGTCAATCTATAAAGAACTCACTATTTTCATCTTTAATAAATAGATCATAATTTGGTGACCATGATATTCCTCTCATTAAATATGATAATGTTCCAGTATAATTTGTATTTTTCTTTTTAAATTCAAATCTTAAAGTTGTACCACCTTCATCGGGTCTTACCGATGTATATTCAATTGAACGACTATCAGCATAAAAATAACCTTTTGTATCCAAATTTTTTAGTAACATTGTATTTGGATCGACAATTTTTGCTTCTATATTTTGACATTTACATGAAGTTGTTGGTCGTACTGTGACTGAAGCATCCTTTAGTACATCAATTGTGTTAAATAATTCTTGTTTGATAAATGGTGTTCCATCCCAACTAATTGAATCTTCAATTATATTTGCATATTCATCATTTTTAAAATAATATTGATAGGTATCAAGACCACTTTGGCTTTGTCGAATTTCAGTTACACTATTATAGATGTTTAAGTCAACAGCAAATAACGGATGACTTATGAAACAAATGAAAACGACGGTAAAGAACAACATAGCTACACAACGAAACTATTTCAATTGTCTGTTTATATATACATACGTGTGTGTATATATAATCGTCGAAAAAAAAAATAAAAGCCATATGACGGACGTATTCGTTTTATATTTGTCACATTAATCGGCGCATATTTTTCATCAATAGAATAAAAAACATAAAAGGATAAAAATATAAAAAAAACTGTAAGTACAAACAACAGCAGGTCCTTTTTTTTTTATTGAAATAATAAAAATAGACAACATTAAGATTTTTTTGTAATTGGTGGGGTATTACTGTATGTTTGAGATAAACGTTTGATTTGAGTAATATCCATTTGAGTTTCAATAAGAAGACTTGATCGACGCATTGATGGTGTTGGATTACGTATAGATGAATTTCGACGAACAACGACCGATGTTGACGAAGGTAATAAAGGTGATCGTTTAACTAATATATATATATTAATGTTATGCTTATAGATTAAAATAGAAACTTTTATTTCAAACATACCTTGGTCTTTTTCATTCTTGTCATCATCATCACTATGATACATTTTATAACATTTATAAATTAATTTAATAAATATTAAAAGTAAAAGTAAAATAACAACAACTAGACCAATACCAAATATAATATTATTAATTGATGTATCCTCATTTGGTCCTAAAAGAATATCAAATTATTAATTTTATTCTAGCAAAAAAAGAAAAAAAATCTCGAAAACTACTTTTCATAAAAACTTTTGACATGGTTCGATTAATCGTGTTATTAGTTTCAGAAATATTTAATGACACTATCACAACATCTATTTCATCAGTAGTAGATTTTAACACAATCATTTCTTTATCTAGTATTTCTTAAAATTCATTGAAAAGATTTAAAAATTTGTTAATTTTTATTTGTCGATAAATCCGTTATTTAACTAAAAGAAACAGAACAACAACATCACCATCAACGCGCCATAATAGTTGTTTTTATCGACGCAGCCCTTACTGATATGCAGGAGAAAGAAAAAAAAATCGAACTACCATGAGAAACGTCCTTCTACGGCATCTTGTTAGTATTAGTCATACAACACAGCAAGAAAGACATTATTACAACACAATTACTTCAATGAAGTATACACAACTTGTTATAAAATCAATATTTACTTACTGGTATACATATTATCTTTGAAGATTGAAGGATATGATTCATCATTTGTAAGTGGCTTGTCATCGACTATAGGTTCGATATCAATAATTAAATATGTCTTTCGCTGTTTGTAAAACATTGTCGTGTTGTAGGCGATAGCTTTTGACGAGCATTGATGTTGATGTTGTATGTCAACCATTATCTAAAGGTTACGAAAGGAATATGTTAAGTATTTGATCGTTTAATAAATCAAAGTAATGCAAAAACGTAATGAACATTTTGTTTTTTACCCAATAAAGAACGAAGAGAACACAATCATGAAGTCTACGTAAGCAGAAATGATAAGTAATTACGCAATTTATGACATAGTAACAATTGATTGCTTTTATATTTTTAAGACAAAAACTTTCATCAAATCTCATACTATAGAAATAATTTTCAAACACATATATATTGATGTAATTTTATATCTTATTATTAACTAAGATAAGCAATCGAAAAAAGACAAACTAAAATTAAATTGATGAAAAAATACAAAAGGATAAACATGAAACAAACAAGTGGAACAAACAGAAAAAAAACAAACCCTAAATATATTCAAATTCATCTTATTTTATGATTATTTTTAATTAATTTATTACAAAGAAGAAAATTTAACTTTAAAACCATCTGCTTTCGATTAATGTAGGAATATAACATTCTTATGCATTTATGATAAAAGAACGGTAGTACCAGATTCTAGATGGTGTTTACATTTGAAAACCAAATCTATTCATATTTTTTCATATTTGTATTCATTCGCAACGTGACTTCTTGCTCACTTAGTTTAACATTAAAAGATGCGCAATAGAACTCTTGTGAAATTTCTATAACCATTTCTCAAGTTACGCAATAATTTTCCTTTTTAATTAACAGACTGTGATACTTGAAATATGGAAACTTGAAATTCAAAATGAATATATTGATAACAATAAAACTTAAGATAAGATAAGAATTTATTTTAAATATATTTTTACTATTGTAACAGATTGAAATTATAAATGTATGAACAAACAAAGAAAGAAAAAATATCGATTTAGAAAAACATAATGGAAAAAGACTGAAAGTGTGGGTGTAGAATTGAAAGAAGACGCACATCTACACCAATGCCTACGCACCTATTTTCATCATCTGCTGTTGAGTAACATATTGCTTCAATGTATATTTGAATGACTTTTTTTTTTCTTTCTATATTTAACAAATCATTTTTTAACAATGCTATAAGTTATTTGAATTTTTTTTATCTATGGAGTTTTTCCTTTCTTTGTTTTTGTTCATCAAAGCGAAATTATATTTGAACCAGTAAAATAAACTATAAAATATCTAATTTATTTCAATACGTAGAAATAAAAAATGCTTAATTAATAGGAGGTACGAAAAACAAAAAAAAGAGTGTACAGTCGATGTACAGGGTAAAACCATAAAAGATTCTGCGACGAAAAATTTGAGTATTTTCATTGCGATTCACTCAAATTGATTGACTTTTTTTTATTTATAATACAGACTTATTTAACGTTTGTTCTTTTTTCTCACACGAACGTTGCTTGAAAACAACAGTATTGACTTCACGAAAGTATCACCTGTTGTTAAGAAACAAAAATATACATGCAGTGATGCATAGATCATTTTCAATTGTCAACTACAACAATAAAAAGAAAAACATCGAGACTAATTTCATTAATGACATTACATTGATGTACATATAGCAAACTTTTTGAACTGATTAATTTAAAAAGTCAAGAGTAAAAATAAATCAAAGTTTTAGGCATACAACATTAATTTTTCGATTGATGCTTGAAAGACTTAATTATACATTGGAATCAATGAATATAAATTCAAACACCTAAATGAACTAGTTCGAAAAATTGTCTCTGTATACAACAATGCAATATCATTAACAAAATTTTTTTAACATTCTCTTGTTATTGTTTTAGTTGACAACTGAAAATTATCTATGCGTCGCTTCACATGCAATTTTCTTTCTTGACACGACATGCTACACTTCTTTACTGATGTCAATAATGACACTTGCAAACAATATTTAATCATGTCATCTGTATGAAACAAAACAAAGAATTTTTCAATACATCTGTATCATCAATGAAAAAAAAAAAGATCAGTCTATTGGATGAAATAGAAGTTTAGATATTCTAATTTCTTATATCATAACTATTTATAGTCTACCGCGTATATAAATATAAAAGACTACTCAGAAAAATTCTCATACACACACAAAAAGATTGATTATAGAGAAAATTTGAAAAATCAAAATAGTCACAACATGGAATTAACCTATTTTAATAATTTAATGTAAAGTGCGATAACATTCAAGTCTTTCATAAGTTTTATGGATGATCGCAAAAGAATGAAAATTACGTATAAGTGAATCACAATTTGATTTGCAAATTACCAAGGTAAATATACTCAAGGTTAATATTTGCATTCGAATACAAAGTTATCAAAAAAATTCGAATGATATAAATTTTCAAAACCATTAATAATAAACATTAATTTAGTCTTATTCAAGATGATAAATAAAACAAAAAACTATTATCCATGAGATACTTTTTAATTTTCTCTCAACATTATATGAAACGTATTCTAGTTATAAATGATGATATGTTTATTTTTATTTACACAAGTTTATCAAATAACAAGCAAATAACTAAAATGACTCGTTTTGTTTTCAATAAAAACTATTTGAACATTCATTGTATTTTATAATTAATCTTTTCTTATTCACTAAATCATAAACAAATATTCTTTCATCTGTTAGATTAAATATGATATGACAAAGACATATATGTATATATCCAATATTCCATTGACTTAGTGTTAATACGAAAACATATAATATGCAACTTGTTAATTACAATTAAAAATTCATTTTCTATTAATAATGAATTTCTTGTTTTCTTTACTCCAATGTTGAACATATACTTCTCATTTAAATTTTCTAACTATATAATATTACAGAAGCATGTATGATTAATAATAATGAAGAAACAGTGTTATTCAATAATAAATAGACCAAAGATAAAAGAAAACACATAATCAATTCTAAGAAGTTTTTCTTATTGAAACATAGTCTCATCCTTCCCTTGTGTATATCTTTCCTGGAGGAAGGAGAAAAATAAATGAGAATACAGATATTCTTTATATAATAGTTCTAAAAAACAAGCCTGAAAAAATAGTAACAAAAAACTCTTTCTATTTCGAATAACAAAACATAAACAGCTAATTTAACGGTATTTTCATGGTTAAATTTTCTTTTGCATTTCTTGCTATGCAAAAACCTTATTACAAAATTATCATCATATCGAAACATGTATATAGTAGTGTTGCTATTCGTCTGCTCTACATAATTATAGCATTTATTTGGATTCTGTTTTTTTGTATATATGAGTACTATATATAGTCATAAAACTACATTAAAATTAACTAAAAATTAGATAGTTACAATAACATGAAATCAAACAAATATAATGACAATAATTTCAAGTACTACTAGCATAAATTTAGACCAGACAACTTCAATTGTCATAACAACAACAACAATCATTATCCTTTCGACTTGAAATATAGTAATGATAGCTTTTATTATCATGCGTCGCAACGAATCTTGATTTTCTAAAAATCGTTCTGATTTGTTCTAATTTTTGCGAATAATCCTGTTTTTTGACACTCTTATAAATGAGCATTCAAAATCGAGAAAATCAGGATTATGCCTCGAAAATTGAATGAATCAGAACGATTCTTCAAAAAACAGAAAATCAGAACAATCAGGACTTGCTGCGACGCATGTTACTACAGAACCTTCGCAGATAAATGGAAAAACTATCACAACATAAATACTAAGTTCGTTTGATGCGACTATAAGTGATGCAATAGTCTAGAAAGAGACTATTTTTCCATTATCGAGTAAACGATCTATTTTATCACAATTAGTAAAGACATTAATAAATGATCTTAAATATACGCATCATGCCATAGATAGCGAAGCCCTACGATTTTGAAGAAAATCCATGGTATATATACAGTGTCAATGAGGGTAATTATTAGGTGTTTTTTCCAGTGTTAGGGTGAAGGTGATCAATTGTTGAATGATGCCAACTCTAGTCCGCCTTTGATTACATCATTACCACAAGGCTTGATTAGGCCCAATCCTAACCTAGATTCACTCCACGCAAGCTAAGATAAACTATACAACTTTTTTTCTCCTTGTATCAGATTAATAAATTTTAGCCGTACATCACAATTCGTGTATAAATATCAACGGTTTTCGCAGCCTTCAACAATGAAGATTGCAGATCTATTAAATATTTTCAACAATGAACAAAATCACAATGAAACATTGTTTTTTTCTGAACATTTTTGCTTCACCATGCCCATGATTTGTTTTTTCCAGTAAAGCAAATCAGAAATTCTTCTTTCAATGATCACATTTCAATAAACATAAACACGTTCGCAAGTGTCATCCAATGCATGTTTTCTAACGCAAGTCCGCCATTGTTTATACGCTGCAAAATGTAGGTTCAAAAAAAAGAATCATTAACTGCATTTCATCTAAATGACATACAAAAACTGATCTTCTCTCATGGGTAACTTTCAGATGCAAATTTTATAAAAAAGAATGTTGAATCTACTCTAGAATTAAAAGGTTCCGCCGTCTATGCTGACAACATCAGTTATGTAATAATGATTCCTATTGTAATCATAATTATGCAAAGAATTCAAAGAAAAAAAATCAATCTATCATTTGCAAAAAGATCAATGCTTGACCATTGAATTTGTTCTTCTAAAAATTCTACCATTTCTTTTTCGAATATTGAAAACTTCAAAGAACACTTATTTTACATAAATATTGATTTATTTTCCATGGGAAAAAAAAAATCACTTCATTTTTCTTAATCAATGACATTGAAAATACATTAAAACTACCATTTTATCGGCATCGATGGTAAGATCTAAAACTAATGAACACATCATTTTGTCAATGGACCGATGTCAAAATGAAATAGATAATACTTCAAACAACAAATATTATATCATTGTCTATTATGAATACTCAATTATTTACAAATCACACCGATTCAATTCCAATGTCTTACCAAAAACAGTGTTTTTTAGATCTGTGTATACTTTTCTTTTTACAAATCA